ATAAGAGCCACATCTACTCAGTAAGTGCTGAGCTGACCAGTTCTTTATAAACGGGTCCCATGAATGATTACAATATAAAATCATCCATTCTTTTCCAGCACAAGTAAAAGGATAGTTACCCAAAATGCTACTGAAATCAGTCTGGCCAAAACCAAAAGGTATGTAATATGACTGAAATATGTAGGCTACCATTGCACACCTCACCTTCTGAATATTGTAACGGCCTGGCCATTATACAAATCCAATGCTTTTAACCCTTTTGCTGTTATAACTATTGCGGCAGCATAGACGGCATGTAAACAAACTACTGGCCACTACAGCAGTCGGGAATGTGTTTACCTTTTTCCCCCCGGCTGCTGGCTATGAAGTGATTCAGGCAGATTTTACTTCTACATGCTTCCCCAAATTACGAACCCTCTATGATTAGTGCAGAGAGTGGGGTAATCGGCTGTGCCATAAATTTACCCAAAAAGAGAACAGTACATTTTTATTAACCATTATCAGGGAGGAGAAAAACAGAATGACCAAATACCAATATAAAAAAGAAATGTGATTTTTATTTAAGGCAATACTGGGCTACTTCACAAATTACCACCTTAAATATATACATTGCTTCACGTAACTGTACATGTTCCATGAAATTTACAGAAATGTTAACAGCATAGCATACAAGGTTGTACTGCGTTTCAGTTAAAATTGGGCACAGGTAAATAGGAACCATTAGCAACATAGCAATTTTACCTGGATAAATAGGCAAAGTGCCTGAAGTTATCACCATTGAACGGACCCTCTGCAGCACAAGGATAGTGAGTGCCCACTGTGTGCTGCATATGTTAATCACCTGATTGTAGTAGAAGTCAGTTGATTATCCACTTAAGCTGGCCATACATGTATGGCATTTTCATGTGCTAAATGAGAAAAAAAAAATGCTTGATTACACCAGCCATGCTAAACAGCGTGGATAGAGGAATCTCCCTTGCCAGCTATTGTATTCTGACAGTCAACATACCCATACAGTGACTGTAGCCAACAATTTTCCACCCGCCTCTTGATTTATTTTTTTATTGACGTTTGCCAAGCGGGGCGGTTCTGGCAGAGCCAACGTTTAACATTTTACCCTTTCAGCCCTACATGTTCCAGTCATACAAGATCATGATATAGCAAAGGCAGGCCTAAAGATGTTAATTTATTAAGCCTGTCAGCATCTTTCTTTAGCTTCCAGCTTTGTATCCACCAGTGTTTTAACATCGTCCTGTGGGCCTGCTGGATTAGATGAACAAAGCCCATCCACCATCTTGTGTGACAGGACCACAAAGCTTGCCACTGAAATATATTTCCACAGAAATGATCAAAAGAAAATCTTCACCGGAATCCTATTTCCACCAACCTAACCTTTAAAAGTGGAAGTCCAAAACACTAAACAGACGGTCGATAAATATGTATGTGAACATTTTACTTCCGTTAAATGAATCATTCTGCTCAGCCAGTTTTGGGATTCATTCCGGTCCCTTTGCACACGCATAAGTGTCCTGTTTCACACCTCTGCTTCTTGGACATGGGTTAGAATGCAGATTTATGGTCCAATATTCATGCCTGGGGCAGTGACAATGGTGCAAACTTAACTAGGAAATAAGTATGCACAGTGTAGCAAATCACAAGAATTTTTTGGACACCATTCCAGACAAAATAGCAAACATTATTTCAAAGTATTTAGCCGTTTGTCTCAAGTTAAAAAACTTGAGTCAGAACCGACAACCCATAACACTAACCCTACACCTCAGGTAAAACCAAGTAGCATCATGGCGATACTACTTAGAGATCATTATGTAATGGTTTAAAATAGGGCAATTACTGGTGCCAAACCAAATGGCTGACATGTTTTAAAGGTAACTGCTAAATAAATTTGAAGTGGTGAAAAAGGGCCATCTGCCTTAAGAGGTGCAGAGTCAACGGATAAGCGCTGAATGGACATTCAGGCACTACATAGCACAACAAGGCTTGTAACATTTAATGCATCAAATTCACTTGCCTTATTCAGGCAGATTTTATCATTTGGCCTAAAGAGTAAATTTAGAGTGAAGTTTAGCAACTTGTTATTGTAATGTACCAAATAAAATGCTTAACTGAACATTACTGTAAATTGTAAAGATATTCCCTGTAACTGGTTAAATCCCAGCCTAAATTTTCCTTTTAGGCCCATATGACCTCTACTAATATTCATCAAAATATCCTGCTTGTGGCATTCTGCTGTACAAACATCCAAAAGAGCCGATTGGGATGTAACTGCTATCAAAAGTCCTGAACGCTTGGTATGTTAAAATGTCATCCAACTAAATATCAGCAATATATCCACTTTTGGGAAATTCAGCAAATATCAGTCACATGATTAACATACAGACTTTCTAGCTTTATTTGGCAATGCTCTATGTGGGAATTTGCTATGTAACACCCTGACTAGCAATTCTGTATAGCTGCATCTCTGTCATTTGGGTAACTGTCAGCAAAAGTAAACAGAATCTTTTTGTGAATGTACATCAATCATGTGTTTATCATTTAACCCAAAGAAAAATATTTCCCACACTAAAAACATTATTGCTTCCTGGAGATTACATTTAAAGCAATATTAAAGTCAAAAGGGTTTTAAGCCATTTCAAAAGCTGATGAAATGACTTACAATGAATGCTGCTTCTTGATGTTTACAAGTTTTAGTTTCCTGCAGAATCAGCTGGTCTCCTGAGCACTGGTCCTGACTTCCTGTTTTAGAGTGACTCCTTTCTCAAGCAGAGTTCTTTGCAGTCACTCGTGTGTGCTTGTAAGCTGTGTGTCTCCACAAAGGAAATCATGCTACTCCCCTCCTCCAAGCTAGTAGATGACCAGTTGCTGGAGTCTGCCATCTCTTGTGATCTTGTACTGGACAGAAGGTTCAGGGAAACTGAGCTGAGAGACTTGGAAGCAGCTACTCAGAAAGATGATTTGAAATGTTTAGGCAAAAATGTAAAGCAATGCTTTCCTGGGCAATGTATATTTGTTTGATCAGGAATCATAATTGAAAAACAGTTGGAGTTTAAAACTACTTTAAATGTTTATTTAGCCAAGAGACAATTCTGGTTTATGCAGAACAAAAGACTTCCGTTTAACTTAACTCCAATGAACAAGTGATTGGCAACATTTGTACTAGGCATGCCTTAGAAAATAGGCAAAGAAGTGGCCAAGAACATGGTGTGGTAAGTGCACTACCAGATGATCTATGTACAGAGCCACTATAAAAACTGCACCTGCGAAACAGAATATATGTCCAGTTACATTTTAAACAGGACTTTAAAATGTGCAGCCTCTTGTGCAGCCAAATTGGGATAACACCAACTTTATTTGTTCAATGTTACTAGTCATATACTTTATTTATACTAGTCATGTACTTTATTTAAAAAAATACAGCTTACCTTTTTAGATCCTCATTCCTGGGAATTCTAGGATTGAAAAATCTTAGTTCTCAGTTTGAGGGGAGTTTTATTTACTATAATAAACCCAGGTTTGTACTGTGCTGGCAGATTTCATCATCAATTGTAAAATGTATGAGCAGGAGTGTCTACCCTAACAAAGGGTTAAAGATCTCAAGGCATTGTACATCAATGCACTTAAATAAAACAAAAAAAACCCCACACACACCTCTCCCATAGTCTGTATCCCTATCCATTTTCTGCACACTTCCATCTATTTGAATCACTAGCAGCTGCCTGTAGTCCAATGTATAATCCTGCTCCAAACAAACAGCTAGAAAGGCAAGGTATTTTTATTATTAGGTATGCTGTGTGATTGGGAATACAAACCACAAACATATAGTGGGGGTTTCTCAAAGCCGACTGCAATAGTGGAAATACACTTTAAGGTTTTTTTGTTTTTTTTAAATACATATTAACCTTTGTATAGGGAATTCTAATTCAGTACATACAATGTGTGGAGTAAGTTGCTGTAGAATTACTATTCAATCAAAAACTAAGAAGAAAATGCCCATTGCTTTATTACGGCATAAAGTAGAATGGGTGGTGCAGCTTGCTTTCATTTACCTGTTGGCACCTTGCTGAAATGAAAGGTTGATGTTTAAAAAAAATAAAAAAGATATAAAAGGAATAACCACATTACAGGATCCAAGCTAAAAGGTGAACACTTCTACAGACACCTCAACATAGCAACCTGGTTGGGGGGAGGTCATTGCAACCCATCTATCTAGAACTGAAAGGTGAGGATTCTATATATTTCAGTTGTAGTGTTGCTGGAGGGGGAAAAAAATACACAATAGCAACCACAAAGAATTTTAGACTGGACAAACAACTTGCAGAGGAAATCTTAAAACAGCAGGAGTCTCCACCTCTTTATGAAGTCGTACAGAATCTGTTTACAATAAGAGGTCTGAAACAGGGGTTCACGTCCAGCTTCAAGCTGAGAACCTCTTTAATCCCACACAAACTGATTTCGGGCCATAAGCATTATATATGTATGCTGTAAAGTAACAAGGTTTCAAACATTCACACAATAAAAACTTTCAATATATGTTCTGTATAAGTATTTACATAAAATGTGCAACCCAAGGTAACTCCAATACAAATTCTCTTTTAAAAAAGTGATCACTTGATTACAAATTAAAATCCAGAATATAAATGTGAATTTAATAGTTTACACTTAGGCAGCAAATGTGTTAATGTGATATTTACAAAGGAAAATGCACAAAGGGCAAACAGAGAAACCCAAAAAAATTATATACAAAGTACATTGTTATACAGGACTGTGAACTTGGTATATATACACCAAATATCACACACAGTACACAAATTGTTAAACTGTGGAAATGACAATCAGTAGAAATATTGAACTTTTCATATATATATATACAGAACTGAATAAACAGTAATCTAGTCCCATAGGGATAAATGGAATAAAAACTATGCACGACTTGCGCCATGGCATATTTTTTCTTTTTTCTTTCCTTTTAACTTTTTGGCCATGTTAGGTCACTCGCAAATTAGAAAAAAAAAACAAACTCATAAAAATACATTTGCATGCTTGATGGTGTCTAGTTCACAATAAAAATGAATTCTGACTATTCTAGGATCTCCCTATAAGGTGATTTTGCTATCTAGGTCTACATTTTGTTCTTTTGAAATGCTAGCAGATTCATCTCTAAGAATGGGGTGTTTTTTAAGAATCACAGCAGGTTTCAGTTCATTGAGCTGCTTCACAACAAGTTCGATGTAGTCATTAAATGCCTCAACTAAAACAATCTTTACATCTTCTACGTTAGGTAGCTGCGAAGGGTTAGCAAAGACTAAATATATATTGGAGTCAGAGTCTTCATCCTCAGACACTTGTGGCTTTTCCTCAATAGGCTGCTGTTCTGCTTGTGTGGCCATGTTTGAATTAGGTTTTTCTATGGTTTTCTTTTCCTTGACAACGGATTCTTCAATGAATTTAAGGAATGAAACCTCAAATCCCATAGGTTTGAAAGAGCTCAAGTCAAATGCTGGCGTGTCCTCAGGTGCAGTGTCGGTAACTATGGTCTCTTCATCAAGTGCGCAGCTAGATTCAGCAGACTGGGTTTCAGATGTAGCAACTTTTCTTTTTTTATTTGGTGTGGCTTGCTTTTGCTTATTGGTTCTTTTTACAGCAACAGCAGTCCTTTGTGGCTCGGAATGACATGAACTTGTTTCCTGGAGGTCATTACTGACACAGGAGGATGCCGTAGCTTGGTTTTCTGAGCCGGAGCTGTCCTCATTACTTAGTTTTGAAATGAATAGTTCAGTAAGTTCGTCCATCTCGTCTTTGTCATTTTCACTCTGTTGAGAATTGGAAATCGTGGATTCATCTCCACTTTCGAGGACACTGGGGTTTGATTGTTTTTGCTGGGTATCGGTGGATAAAACGGTGGCTTCTGTGATATCTGGTTTTGTAGGGGTAACAGCTGGTTCAATGCTGGGAGACGGAATAACTTTAGCTGGGGAGCGACTACGTCTTTTGCAAACAACCAGTGTTTTTTTGTATCTTGAGATAAATGGCCTGGATAGTTTGTGGGATTTATAATGTCTAATAATATTGTGTTCACTAGCGACAACAGATGTACAACCGCGTATCATACATGGGTATTGTTTTGTATTACTCTCAGGGCAATCTGCTATGGTTGCATCTTTATCCTTCAATGAATAAGTATGTCTTCCATATTTGAGAGTCAATGGTCCGGGTTTCATTTGCTCAGTTTTCCCTGTGACATCTTTGAATATTTTGCTGCCTTTACATCGCTTTGTTTTAGGAACTTCATTGCCTAAAGCACCAGATTTTTGTTTGGGCACCCTGGGTCTTTCCTTATAGATTTTTTCTTCTGTGTTTTCTTGTTCACCAATACTCATTTTTCTTGGTCTGATTAAATGTTCCTTGTGTTTGTCTTTGTGCTTGTGAAAAATATGCCTAAGCAAATTTGACCGAGTAGCATAGACACGGTCACAGCCTTTAATATCACACTTGTACATTTCTTCACCATCAAACTTCACCTGCTTCATTTTTAAGCCGTGGGCGTCTTCGAGGTGCTCAATGTAACTGGTACAAGTTGTAAATGTAGCTGTACATTGACTCTGATCACAGTTAAACTTTCCTACACTTGCAGAAGACACTACATTTTCAATTTCGTCTGCAATCATCTCATGAAGTTTCACATAATGCTGAATTAAACTAGCAAAGGTAGCAAATATTCGAGAGCAATCAGTCTCAGTACATCGGAACTCTTGGATACCACTGTCTCCCTCCTCAGGCTCATTTTTTAGGTCCACTTCTGAGAATTTCGAAGCCTCAGGCTTGTGAACAGCTTGATAATGAAGCATTAAGCTTTGCTGTATACTGAAAGCTGCTGTACAGCCTTGATGAACACACCGATAAGGTTTATAAGAAGTGGGCCCCTGAGGAACCTTGGGTTCTTTCTGCATTGCTCTTTTGCGTTTACGTTCTTCCTTTCGTTTTCTGTTTATTTTTGGGCCTCTCTTGTTTTTCTGATCTAGTAGTAGAGGTTTTGACTCTTTAATTGGCATTTCAGCAGGTTGCTTTACTTCATCTTTTGGGGATTCTTCAGCTTTTACAGGTGGAAATTCTTGAAATTCTTCAGGTTCTTGCTTTGTGAGCACTTTTACATCATGCGACTCTGCACACCTTTTCACTTCAGGGCTTCCATTTGGCATTTCAGAGGAAGAAAAGTCATTACTTTCACTTGCAGATTTTTTACCATAAGGCCTTTTAATTTTTAATTTGACCATTTCCTCAGATGTAAAATTGTGCATTGCTTGACAGTGGGCTCGAAGATTTGAATTTCTGGTGAAAGTTTTTGTACATGAAGGAACAACACACTTGAAAGGGGCAAACTTTAGCTGATGCTTTTTGATCTCTTCGAGTTTGTCAGTTGTGTAGAAATGAACTTTTGTATAATGCTTAAATAATGCATCCTTAGTCATTGCACAATAGTTACAAGTCTCCTCTCGGCAAATAAAAGGTTTTGCAATGTTTTTATCGGATATTGGTGAAGATACTTCAGAGGTTTGTTCAGACACAAGACTGTGACTTGGATTGGGGACAATTACACTGGACATAATAGGCATAGGTTCACTAGAGGCGCACTTCTCTTCTAATGCTGGAACATGTTCAAGCATTACACTATCCACAAGTTGAAGATGCTGTACCAAATTCATGATCTCTAAAACTTGGTCATCATACATGGTAGTGGTTTCTTGGGTTGGAGAGACTGAGCATACAGGTATGTTCATTTTGTTAAGTGGGCTAGCAGCAGTACCAGCTGCCATTACATTGTGCACCAGCCCAGGTAAATCATCATCTATACTACCATTCACTGCAGTCTGGTTTTGGGGCAAAGCAGAGCAAGGTTCTTGACCATTACTATTGATGGTATATACTTCAGTAGCAGCAGGACTCAAGTTATCAAATGTCCTCTCTCTAAAGTCTTTGTGTATATCAAGCTTGTCAGCGTCTTTGCACTCAGATGTGTTGGGTGGTTTGCTTTTTTCTTGATTTACAGCAAGTTGACATAATGCTTGCGTTTCTGAGCTAGCCTTGATGCTTTCATTTAGACAAGACATGAACAGTTCTTTGTCAGCATTGCTCAAATTCTTTGCTATATTTTCTAGTAACTCAGAACCATAGGTCATAAGGTTTGGCTGCATATCCATTGACATTTGCAGATTTCCTCCCACAGCTGCCAAAATATTTCTTGCTAGTTCATGTGTAGCCTCAACTGCCACAGGTGCGTCAGTCTTCTTCTTTTTCTTAGAAGTGCTGTTCCTTTTCTTGGCAGGGGTTATGGAAGAACTAAGAGGACCACTAATTACAGACACTCTAGTACTGCTTACTTGTTTCGGTAAATCATGGTTTTCCACAGCTGAATTAACCAAAGGATTTGAGCGTAAATCATTATTAGTATTTATGGGCTGCCCGGGAAGATGCACTCCAACAGAGTTATTAGCATGAAGGGTTCCTAAGCTTGGAACATCTTGTAAACTGGAGGTGGTTGTTACGGCTTGCGTTTCAGCAACATTTGATGGGCCAACTGTATTTATTTGTGGGGAGCTGGGCACACAGCCGTTCGACTTGCTATTAGAAAATAGTCTGTTACCATCATTTTCTGAGTCTACAAAATTTTGTTTAACAGTATTAGCTTTGTTTTCATTATGGCTAAAACTGGAAACACTAGGATGTGAAAATGCAGTAGTTATATACTGAGCACTTTCATTTCCAGGCTGGCCAGATGAAAGAAAATGTTCAGGTTTAGCAATCACTTCAGAACTAAAGGTCTGCTGGGGTGATGGTGGTAGCACCTGCGCTTTTTGGTTTGGACTAGTTGACAGAATCATGCTTGCCAAAACAGAAGGCTGTCCATCTTGTGGACCCAGTGGAGGAATGCCATAATCATTGTGTGGCTTACATACAGATCGTTTTGACAAATGGCCACCTAAAGATCGTGGGTTAGTAAAAGCTCTAAAGCATCTGCTACAAATAAACTTGCCATCTCTGATAATAGCAGGAAACTTTGCACGAGGACTATGCTTTACCCTTTTCTCTTTATTTCTTGCTGGCCTGCTAGTAGCGTTCGTTTTGTCTGCCGAGTTTGAAAGCATGCTAGATGATTTTTCCAAATTAAAGCTTGCATCTATGTCTGTGTTGTCAACTTGTTTGGAAAATGATGCGTCTGTGTCAACATCTTCTTTCATGAACACTGAATTTGCAGCTTCACTTCCAGTTAAAACATGATCTGCACCTACTCCGAGCTGAGAAAACATTGTGCTTCCACTAAGTGAAGACATAACCGGCAAAGGATCATTTTCTGTTGGCATTGGGAGAAATGGATCAGACCCATTTTCAAATTTCATAGGTAAAACTTTTGCCAAATCCTCAATTTGTGAAGTCATGCCAGCATTATTTAGATTTCCAACCTCAGTGCTCAACAGAGTTTCTGCAACATGTTTGGTAATTTCTTGGGTCATAACAGTTTCTACAGGACTCAGTAATGGGTTCACCAAGTTTTCAAGATGTGTTGGGAAGACTGAATTAGGAAGGTGTTGTAACTGATTACAGAAGTTGTGGTTTGCAGTGCTCTGTAGGTTTGGTTGGATGGTAGAGTTATTTGGGACATCTGGTCCCAGGAGTATGGAATAAGTACATTTCTCATCAGTTGGTGGGAGTGATGTTCCAGGTTTTTGTTTCTTTCTATTCTTGCGCTCTGTCTTAAAATAATCATAATGTACTGGGTGAGTACTCTTCATGTGTTTGCCTATGCTTTGAACAGAATTATATATGCGTGTGCATCCATCAACATTGCATTTAAACCTTTCATTTGGGGCAGGTGCAACAGGGGTAATCGGGACATCACAGACTGGTGGCAAAACATTTGAGAGTGCATTGCTTGTTTCAAGAGACAATGATAAAATGTTTTCAGATTTAGAATTTTCTTCATATCCAGACATAAGATTATTTCCACACAATTGGCTAGTTTGGTTGTGTAGATTAAATGACATTATATTTATTTGTTCTTGACCTTCCATTTTTATTTTACCAGCATTTATTACACCAGTTTGAACTTTGCTCGAGTTATCTTGGCAGCTGTTTTTCCCATCCTGAAATAACGACAAATGTTGTACTTCAAAACCTGGGAGTGTCATCCTTGGTGTTTCACTGACATTGTCTATAATTCCACTTGGAAGAAGCTTGTTTTGGTTTAATAGATCACTAAAGCCTTCAGGCACAGATGGCAGTTTAAAATTTCCTAAATCCCCTGGAAAAGCTGTGGGAGCCAGCATCTCAGCCTTAGGTAGCATATTGTGATCATTGGAGGGTGATGCTAAAACCTGAGTTAGCAGATTTGTAGTGGGTAGAAAATGAGCAGCAGGTGTAATAAGTTGGTCTAACAAATGCTCAGAATTTGTCATTTCACAGGTGCTGACAGTTGCCATTTTCTGTGACTGTAGTGATGTTTCAGGTACACCGGAATCTTTAGTTATAACAGAACCTGAAGTGTTTGCCGAGTGTAATGACTCTACCTTAATGTTGATCACATTACCACCTGGAAGCAGTTTTTCTTCAAACTCAATACCTTCAATCTTTACAGTTGTCTTTGTCACCTCAGTAAACTCTCCACTTTTACTGGATTCTGGAAGTGCAGTTTCAGTAGCATGCTCTCTTAGGTGCTGTTCTAACTGAAGTTGAGAACGAAAGATCTTTCCACAGTCAGCAAGCTTGCAAGTAAAAGTGTTATAGTGTTGTGCTTCGTGGTCAAAAAGCATGTAAGCTGCAGAGAATATTCTCCCACAGTTGGGAAACATGCATCTTGCTTTAAAATGTCGATGTTCCTTTCGATGTGCCAATAAGTCTGTGTAAGTCTCAAAGCTTGCCTTGCATTTCATTTGTATGCAAATGTATGGTTGGCTTCCACAGTGCATCTGTAAATGATCATTTAGGTGAGTCAGGCTAACAAACTGCCGCCTACAATACTGGCAAACTACTTTTTTACTTTGTATCTCAAGGAAACGTGCAGCTTCTTTACTGTCCTTGTGCCCCCTCACATGTGCAATTAAATTTTTGAAGTACTTAAATCCTTTGTTGCAAAACTGTACAGGACAAGGGAACTCATTGACTGGTTTTTCAGGGTGAAAATTCCCAGATTTATCTTTGTCATCATTTTCATCAGAATTGTCATTATCATTGAACACTATAAAGTCATCTGAATAAAGAGTGTTCTTTTTCACTTGCCTCTCTTGCTTCGTAATGGTTTCTGGTTTTTTAATCTTACAAACAGGCTCCTTTTTAGGTAACTTTGGCAATCGCTTGAGAGGTTTCATAGTTTCCAGTCTCTCTTTGCAGGATTGCTTAACATGCAATGTTACATGAGGAATAAATGTCTCTTTAGTGGTGTATTGTTTTGCACATATTGGGCAGCTGTAGATGCCATCCATGCAATGTTTTTGTGCATGACGAATAATCCGATGGCCGAGAAACTCCTTGTCACATAACACACAGTACTGCATATAAGCTTGCCAATTTCTAAATCTAGCTGACACATATCCATGTTCTCTCATTTTTTTAATCGGCCTCTGTCTTTGTTTTTTCCTGGTAAACTCCTGAACAGGGACATCATCAAAGCTTTCAAGTCCATTTCCTGTAACATCCTTAGTCAATTCCTGGTAATTATCCATTTGATCATATGCTTCATTGTCATTCAGCTCATCAATAGAAGACACAATAGATGCCTGTTCTCCCATTAAAGCCAGGCATTGACGCTTTAAAGTTTTCCAGTCCCAAAACTCTGGATCGAAAGGCCATCTGGTTTTTAAGACCAACAAAAGTTCACACCGCAGCGAGTTTGGTACAGGAAGACTTTCCTCATCATATTTTTGGTCTGGCTGATTGTATAGCATTTCAACAGCATAGTAAGCATCCACAGTAGGTTCCAAAAGAAACTCAGTGAGTTGACAGGCTCTCTTAACCTCCAGATCATCAGGTAATAAACAGGAGATTGTCTTGCAGATAGAGATTTTAACCTTGGCATTTTCACTTGACTCCAATCGTAGGGCTCGTACACACAATTCAATACAGGTTGGAAGTCCTGCAGCTTCAGTCTAGAGCATAAAAAAAAAAAAAAATTACTAAATTGGCACCACATTTGGTAAAAAAAAGTTTTGGTATGCAAAAACACTGTATGGCTCATTGATATAGAACCACACAAAAAAATTGACAAAGAACAGCCAAAAGGAAGAGTGGTACAAAGTTTACCATACATTCACCAATGCATAAACAGTGATAAATTCCAGATTGCTTCCCAGAAATCTTAGTTGAGTATTAAACCTGCCCTTAAATAAATTTTTATACTTTCCTAGTATCATATTACATATGTTGATACTCCCCAACATGTAAGTGCCTAAAACGCACTCACAAAGAGTGTGTGCTTTGTAAAGTAACAGCAAAAAGTTTCCCAGCACACTCACCAGCCAGCATGCAAAAGAAAATTGTCTCACCGCTAAGGTTAAAAACAGAGGTTTAGTTACAAGTCTTCTGCAGAAAGCCGCACAGCCGCGCCAAGGCAAAAGATAAAATTGGGTGCAGGTTTGTCAGGAGGAAGCCCAACCTCCCTTAAAAGGCACAGGGACGCACAAGGGACCCCGCCCATCACAACGGCAGCTGAGACCCCCCCATGCGTCACTGCACCAAATCAGTCAGGCAAAACAAATGGAAAACGCACTCGTCAATTTGTTACCAGCTTTAAAGCAAGGTGCACATGTAAGGGAATGTTTGCCATTTGTTTTGCTTGACTGATTTGGTGCAGTAACACACAGGGGGTCTCAGCTGCCCTTGTGATGTGCGGGGTCCCTTGTGCATCCCTGTGCCTTTAAGGGAGGTTGGGCTTCCTCCTGACGAACCTGCACCCAATCTTTTGCCACATGTGCTCCAAGATGGAGACTCTCATAGTTTAGAGTTAGGACCGCACTATATAGAGGTGCCTTGGCGCGGCTGTGCGGCTTTCACATTTTCTGCAGAAGACGTGTATCCAAACCTGTTAGCCTTAGTGGTGAGACAAGTTTTTTTACATGCTGGCTGGTGAGTGTGCCTGGAAACTTTTTGCTCTTACTGTTTAAAGGCATTCCATGTGCACCTTGCTGTAAAGCTCGTAACAAATTGAATGAGTGCGTTTGCCATTTGTTTTTCTTTGTAAAGTAGCCACCACGTCAAGCCCAATCCCGTGATAGACTAACTTTAAAGGAGAACTATGAGGCGAGTAAAAATCACTCAGCCTCATAGTTCTAGCCGGCCTGTGACAATGAAACGGTCACATGTCGGCTCAATAGATCGGGAAGTGAGCGAACACATACCGTCGCTCGCTCACTTCTCGATCCTGTCCCGGCAGAGAGCCGTGACTATCACTCACGGCTCCCTGCAGGGATTCCCCCCTCCCCTGTCTGATCCTCCAGCGCTGACTGGCGGAACGGATGGGGGAGGGGCGGATACAGCTGGCTCTGCCTCTAGATGGTGTCTCAGTATACCGCAAGCTGTAGCTTACGGTATACTGAGCTTTGGGTGACAGGAGGACGCTAGTTTATGTCCTCACGTTACCCTTAGGAGAACTATGGGGAAAAGCCCTGACCCAACAATTCTCCTTTAATACAAATCGGTTAACTAAACGTGAGATTGTAGTTCATCACGGGAGTGAGCTTGGAGCGGTGGCTGCTTTACAAGACACACAGGGACCATGGGGAACAGAAGTAGCCACCCTCCAGAAGGAAGGACAGTGTCGGCACTAATTCAGAGATGATTTGAGGATCTATAGCGGAGTAATGCACAAATACAATACATTTTTGTTAATAGGTAAGGTACTTGAATACATTTTTTAGATTTAATGTCGGAGTTTAGTGACACTTTAATGGAACATCCATCACTCTAAATGAACACCAAATCAATAACTGGTAAAGTTGTTGGTGAAAAACATAAAATTCTAGTTCCGAATTTAAAAAAACCTGTAAAAATTTGAAATGTAATGCTTACCTCTGACTGAATAACTTTGATGAGAAAGAAGATATGGTACACGGTTTTTGTCAGCTGAGACAGTTGGCGACATATTTCCAGATATACCTGGATAGATGGCTCAACCCTCCTTTGTAGTTTGCTCCAGAACAGCGTTAATTCCCTGTAAAAATAGACAAAATACTGAGATAAAAAAACCTCAAGGTTAGATACTAAAACAATTTCACTGCCAGAGTCAATTCTGTAAATGAAAAAATAATCTAAATATTTTTTTTTTTTTGTGTGACGAGAGCTTCAGTCACCGGAGCAAGACTGTTTCTAACACTTGGCCCTAGAGATGTTGCTGAAAGCCACACTGACGCAGTATTGCTTATCTCTGTGAATGGCCACTAATTTTGAATTCCAATCTGGGCCTGTGCCATTTTATAGAGACTCTGCTTCCACTGTGAAACACATGACAATGAAAAATGTGCTTCTTCAAATGCAATTAAGCTTTATAGCTTAATTTTTTAAAGAAAAAATGTCATTTATTTTTACCTAATTAATATCTCTTAGGGTTATGGCTAGTCTTTGAGGGTTTTTGGGTTGCCGAACGGATTTGAAACAAATCAAAGAAATAAATTATATATAGAAACATTACAATGTAGGTTTAGACTAGTCATTTTTCAAATTGCAAATAAACATTTTTAGACGTTTGTGCAATTCCATTATAAAAAATGTATTACACTTGAAACGCCATTTACAATACTGTGCTCGGGTACACAAAGTATTAGCATCTATTAATGTTTTCAGTCCGCGTTCACACCTAGGCATTTTGTCGTTTAAAGCTTTGAGTTACAAAATGCTCAAGACAAGGAATTCCAAACATTTCTAAGGCCCCTGTGCACACCTGAGCATTTTGTCAGAAGCAGAAAAATGTCTTGTCGCTGGAAAAAGTACAAGAGCTACTTTTTGGCAGATTACAGCACTTTTGAGTCCCATAGACTTCAATGGGAAACACATGACAAGCGGTCTTGCGCACGTTTGTCGGTTTACATTGATGTCTCACAATCTGTCAGCTGAAAGGCGCGACCCAACGTACACTCGTTAGACGCATGCAAGAAAAGTGTAACAAACCACTAGATAACACGTGATAAGATGCACAAAACGCTGGTGTGAATGGGGCCTCAGGGTTTAGTGTACCCAGTGGCCAAAGCAATGGTAGTGATAAACATCAGAAAAGCAGTCAAAGGCCTTTACACCCCATTTAAACCTTTGCCCTGCAATAACATGTACTTTACAGAAATGCGTGTGCATTGGTGCAATGTGGAGTCAGTTTCAATGGCTCCCCAATACACCTTGTTGATGGATTTGCATTGCAGTGCACTACTGTGTGTTGCAGTGCCATGTGTCCCAAAAATAGTGCTTGCACTTTTGGTGTGTTAGGCAGCTTAATGTGGGGTAACAAACATTTGTTCTCTTCGGGCTTCTACCCCTATACTTGGGAGCGGCCAGAGAATAAATTCTGAGCTTGTATCAGGCATATGCCAAACTACTAATTACCAAATCATGTTGGGCAGATAAAAAAGAAATTCCTTGAATAGTAAAAGGTAAAAATTGTCTTTAGTATACAAAAAAGCCACATCAAATTTCCATAGCTATCAGCCATTGAATGCACACATTGCCAAAACAGCAAGATTTAAAATATTTCATGAAGGTATGCAATATACTGACTCGTGGATAGGATAAGAGAGAATGTATTGCCATTACCATGTTTTTGTAGAGTTAAGAACTTTCTATGAGCTACTGAACATTATTATCAGTGGCTAATCTAATTTTTTTTTTCCTTTTCAAAATAATGCTTAATCTTCATGAAAAAAGGAGCTCTGAAGAATTCTAAAAATGTAGGGTTAAGCTGCTGCCTCCAGAAGAAATGGACACAAGGCAAAAAAATTACTAGCTGTCTGAAACCCTTCCACCTCACAGTTGTATCAAGCAGTTTGGAAGGAAATGAGGGGAGGAAGCCGTGTCCCCTACTGGACATTGAGAAAATTATTGCAGGGTAAAAGCGAACATTCTATTTTCTCTATTGTCCATTGAGGGACACAGCTCTGAAGAATTCTGAGAGGTAGGGATGTTCAAAAGCAGTCCAAAACAGAGGAGCGAGCAGCATTAAAATTGGAATAACCAGCTCAAATACTCAAACAACCGCCTGAAGAACTTTTCTGCCAGAACTAGCATCAGAAGAAGGCAGAAACATCAACTTTCTAAAACAGAAGACCAACTTGCAGCCTTGGCCATTACAGAATCAAGCTTCTTTCTCAAACTACAAGTAGTACTAAAATGTCCTAGTAGAATGAGCAGAAACAGGAAAAGGGGGAACCTTATCCTGCAACTCATAAGCTTGAAGGACAACCTGACAATTCCACTTAGAAATAGTGGATCTAGAAGCTGTAACGTTTCTCATCGTTTTTCAGCACGTTTTTCCGTTCAGTGAAATGCGCATTTCACTGGCGGTATGATTTTTTTTTCCCCATTACTTCCTCTATTTTTTTTTATTTTTTTTTCACTTTCAAACTTCCTGCCGGCTCTGCCCCCATGCGACGTGGCCACCCGCAAGGGACGGAAACCGGAAGCCGCCGGAGGACAGAGCTGGGATCGCGGACAAGGTAAGACCTGTACGCTGTATTCCCTAGTGTGGCTCGGGGTTACCGCTTTGTTAACCCCGATCCACACTCGGGAATACCAAGGGAAATGTGCGGAAAAACGCCCCAAACAAGCTTCTGTACTTCTTTGGGCGTAGGGCGTTTTTCAGCGTGGTCCTACGCTCTGAAATACGCCCAGGTGGGAACCATGCCCAAAGGAAAGTATGGGATTTCACTTGCTGGGCATTTTACAGCACATCGATCAGCGCTGTAAAACGCCCAGGTGTGAACCAGGCCTTACAGTCAACATGGCATCCAAACAATGAAGAGAAATATCCTTAGGGTAAATTGGAGCTGGACAAAGTGGAGGTAAAACAACATCTTCATGAAAGGCATAAACCACCTTGGGTAAAAAGGAAACCTAGTCTTAAACTTGTCCTTATAAAGAACTAAAAAGGGCTCTCCACAAGACAAAGCAGATAACTCTGAAAACCCTTCCCGCCGACGCACAAGAAAGGCAAACGTTTGGAATAACAAAAGACAAAGAAATGACTCAGACAGGTTTAAAAGGAGGTTTTTGTAGAACAGATAAAACCCAAGTTCAAATCCCGTGGAGACAGAGGAGACCTAACAAGGAGTAGATACACATGGAAGTCCATAAATAAATGAACGAAGCAAGGAAGTAGAAGCAAGAGGACATTGAAAAAAAGGACAGACAAAAGCAGATATCTGACCCTTTACAGTACTTAGGGCTAAACACTGATCTACCCCAAGTTAAAGGAAACACAAAACTCTCAATATAGAAGAAGCATGTGTGGGAAAACCCCAAGGACTCACACCAACGAAAATAAACCTTTCATATACAGTGATAAATGTTATGAGTAAAATATCTATTAGCGTTAATCATAGTAGAAAAACAAATCTGAAATTAATTTACGTTTCATCATTTGGGTTTCAACAACCAGGCCGTTAAAGCCAGTGACCGAGAAGCAGGATGGAAGATTGGGCCCTGAGAACAGATCTGGTCTATCTGGAATAAGCCTTGGATCGTCTGCTAACAGATTAACCAAATCAGCATACCACACCCTGCAAGGCCAATCAGGAGCAACAACTGGAATTAATTTGTGTTCTATCCTTCGAAGCAGACAAGGAAATAGCGTCAATGGAGGAAAGGCATACATTAGTGTGTATTTATCCCACGGAGCTACCGAGACATTCACCGCATCTGCCGTTGGATCCCTTACTATGGACAAATCTGTCCACCTTGTTGTGACAAGAAGCCAGAAGAACCACATCTGGCATTTGCCAGCACCTCTGGATGGAGAGACCATTCGCTCAGATCCAGACGTTGTCTGCTGAGAAAGTCTGCCTGCAGTTTTCTATTCCTGGAATGTGCACCTCTGAAAACTGAAGTTCTGCCCAATCCAAGATCGAACACCCTTCCGTGACCACCAACACTCCTGGTGCCTCCCCAGTGATTAATGTATATCATCACAGTAGCCTTGTCTGACTGAATCCAAATTGGACACTCAGACATAAGACGGGTCCAGTGAAACGGTGGGAGGGGTTATGTCCTTAAAGTGACAGGCTTTTAATTTTTTTGCCTAGTGTCCATTTCTCCTAGAGGTAGCAGCATAAACCTACATCTCAGAATTCTTCAGCACTGTGTCCCTCAATGGACAATAGAGAAAAATGGATTTTCAAACAAATATTCTTGCTCAGTGAGATTCTATAACCACACACCTTAAGTGTAGTTGTGGACAGAGAAGGACAATTAGGTGGAATCTTAGCAGCAGCAAATAAAAACATTCAACAATTTGCCTTTAGAGTTCCGCTCTAAAGTTGTAAAAAATGCCCTTTGTTCATTTTGTTCACAACTTACCAGGCACAGTACATTTCACCAAACTGTAGCTGGCGGGAAAGAAATGCTGCACATAGAATAAGTGAGGTTTTCTCGTCTCCCTCAGACTCCAGATTACAGATCATTTCCAATGCATCCTTACAATCTACTTTGGCAATCTAAAGAAAACACAACAAAATATGAATAACTTCAAATATAAAAGAGCACCCACATCCAAAATTCCAGAACACCTCAGCTGAATGAAATTGCTCAGTAAGTGTGGGTAATATGAATAGACTGAGAACTGGCATATACAGTTTAGAAGGTTAAAATAATTTTTTTAAACTAGAAAGAAAAAATTACTTTAAAACCTTGAGCTAAAATTACTGCAAATTTTCTTTATTTGGGCAAGTCCAAAAATTTGATTATGATACGTCTTTTTTCAGCAGAAAGCCAAATAGAAAAAGAGGAGGCATGACAAGAGTAAGGGCTGGGATTTTCTCAAAGCACATTCTAGAGAAAAAACAAACAAACCTCTTCTATAAGCTTTATGTTTGGTGAGGCTGCACAAAGGCATTTAAGGTAGAGCTGTTTGAAGTGCCCTTTCTTGCTCATCTCTGGGTGGTCTGAGCATAGTTTTGCCATGGATGTTGCCTCAGCCACTTTGGTAAGTTTAAGAAGTCGCTTGATTCGCATCTCCAGTAGCAATGGGCCTTCCAAACACAGAAAAACATCCGCTGT